GTCAGAGAAAACAAGAAACTGAACACAATGGCAAAAAAAAAAAAAAGATTTCAACTTTCTGTTAAACATCTGTTTTCTGTCCTCAAGAATATTGATGTGTTCAATACTTATTTCCCCCACTGTATCTTCAATAACAACACAATACTATATTAGGCCAAAATATGTTAAATAAGCATAATTATCATGAATATGATAACTGAACACACCCTATGTAATTAAGCAAGCAACACAATGAGTTCATTAGTCAAAATAAAACATATGGTCATGTGTAGTAATAACACTCATAGATTCATTTAAAGATACAGGACATGCGAGTACTGTAATTTTTCCTGCTATATTTTTATAAAAAAAAAAAAGTATGCTCATATTAAAATGACACTTATAATATAAAAAATGACCCATTATTAAATACCGACGGCTAATTTTACTGTTGCTTAAATGTGATAAAACCTGAAAATAAAAATTCTGTTATCATTTATTCAACCTCATGTCAAATCTGTGTGACTATCATGAGACATGTTGAGAAACGTCTGTGTTTTCTTGTGCATGCAGAGAAGTTAATAGACTTCAGTGCAGTTTGGACCTGAACTATATTCAATGGAAAATCTAAATGTTAACTATCAGTGTTTCCTAACGGGACATGATGTGATGTCGGGATACACATTAACTGGCTGCATCAGCAATACGCAGTGAGCTATTTATTGCAGGAGGAAAACACACTAGTTTACACTCAGCTATTTCTGAGGTGTGCATTTCTAGATATTTGAATGTTTCATCTATTTTGAATTTTTTGTATTGGATGATTTATTTGACTCAAAACAACAACAAAAATCAGTCCAAGGCACTCGAAAAATGTGGAACATTTCACTGAAGGCAGTTCCTTGCCAAAATGCGTAGTTTTTTAGGGATTATGTGAAAAGGGATTTAAAATTTTAACATTGTTCGAGTGCCTTGGACTGATTTTTGTTGGTGTTTTAATGAATCCCTTACCCAAAGAGCACCGACTAAATATTTGAGCTAAATATTTTCTTTCTACTATACATGTTGTAATTCAGTCATTATAGAAATGTATTTAACATTTGTTGTTTGTATGTTAACCAAATCTTTAACAGGCATCCTAACCTTTAATCCATAAGATGTGTGTATTATTTAATATAAGACGTGGGCCAAAAAATATTTAAGGAGTGCACCTTAAAGGGTCAAGCATTTATTAAACATCTTTTTAAATAGTTAATCCATTATACATATAGTAATATAAATTATTTATAACTATTTTAAACTTTAATTATTAGCGTATTATAAGCTGTATTATTTTTTATACTTTGATTAAATGAGCTCCTAAAAATGGAACAAATATGAAAAAATAATAACTTTAAAACAATTTAGACTTTATACAATGTAGAAAAAATACAGTTGAAGTCAGAAATATTAGCCCCCCCCACTTTGATTTTTATCTTCTTTTCTAAATTTTTCGCAAATGATGTTGAACAGGGCAAGAACATTTTCACAGTATGTCTGATAATGTTTTTTCTTCTGGAAAAAAAATCTTATTCGTTTTATTTCGGCTAGGCTAAAAGCAGTTTTTAATTTTTTAAATGCCATTTTAAGGACAAAATTATTAGCCCCTTTAATCTATATCTTTTCCTGATAGTCTAAATCACCATTAATGACTTGCCTAATTACTCTAACCTGGCTAGTTAAACTAATTAACCTAATATAGCCTTTAAATGTCACTTTAAGCTGTATAAAAGCGTCTTAAATATATCTAGTAAAATATTATTTACTGTCAAAGATAAAATAAATCAGTTATTATAAATGAGTTATGAAAACTATTATGTTTAGAAATGTGTTGAAATTGTAACTTATTAAACAAAGTTTATCATGTTCTTACTTCATTTTATAAGTTACACAAACTGTTTTAAGCCAGTTTAACATAATATAAGTTAAATGGACTAATACAATTAACTTGATTCAGCTTTTTTTTTTAAATCAAGGCAACCAGTGCTTTTTTAATGTGTACTAATATTTATGCATAAAGATAATAACTTTAAAGTTATGCTACAAAATTTAATTATCATATAGCTTCTCAAATTTCAATAAGTTACATTGAAAACAATTCACAATATAATCAAGTCATGCAGCATCTAAATCATAGTAAAACAAACCAAAACTAAACACTTAAGAAAAACTCTATCCACTCACCTGTATATCATGTGACCATTAAGTGTCATCAAAAAGCCGTGAATTACTGAAATATTAGCTGAAAATAATTAGTAAAATAAAATAAGTTCAGCTGAGCAAACCACAAAAGCTGGAATCGCCGAGTTTCAAAGCACGAGCGCCATCTGGTGTTCATTCGGAAGAACCGCGCTGTCCTATAAAAGGTTGTGATATTAGAATCAAAGTTTTAGATGTTAGTATCAGTAAGTCCGTTTTATAGAATATCTATAAGCTATTTTGATACAAAACAAGTTACAAAATACGCATTGTGAAGAAATAAACCTAACATAAACATCTAAAGTTTGCAGTTTGTCACTTCCGCCTGAATGGATCAACTTTTTTTTTTTTTTTTAGGTCATCTCATACTTCATTTTCTCATCAAATCATGACCAATCAAATACTCTCTAGTATTTGACATGTTGCTGGGCGCTGCTGTTGCAATGGAACGTACTATTGAGTGTCGCCTCGGTCATTCTAAGCTCTTTGCCAATATTCAAGTTTACAGATACAGTATCTGTTTTCCATGACTTCTCCAACACTTTGTGGGTTTTTCTGTTTTTCCAAAACTTTACCAAGCCTGGAAAATGCCATGTCAAAATTCTCTATGACTTTTCAGGGTTTTCCATGATTGTATAAATCATGCATTGATATTTGGTTGATTTTAGGTTGGTTGTTGAGGTCAGCCTGACATCAACTCGATTTTCATTTCCAAACAGAATGCAACATCGCCACGAAGTTGGGTACAACGTTAATCTGACGTCACGTAGACATCTTGTGCCTATTGGGTGTTTAAGGCCATTTTGGTCATCATACAGCAAACATCCGTCATCTTCTCATCAGTGACATGCATCTAAACAGTCACTTCAGCATTACGTGTGAGGATTTTGCACATCTTCTCATACACTTATTGCTACCAAACACTTTGCAGCATTTATAAAATCGCATATATCTTGAAGTAGTTCATTATTTAGTTAATTAAGAGATTTACCTTCTATGTGCGATTTGATTGGACAGGACTGATTTTTCTTATCTCCATAAACATGAAAAAATATTGACTACAGATTGAAGGAAAGTAGTGGAGTAAAAGTAGCGATATAAAAATGTACTCAGGGGAAAATAAAAGTACATATTTTTAAAACTAATTAATCAATTAAAATTTCTGCGAAAAAATTCTTAATTACAGTAATTTGAGTATTTGTAACTTCTTACTTTACACCACTGGGTTGTGGTAAGGGAAGACATTAATGGCCTGAGTGGTACTGTACGGTATGCTTTTATGGCCATTTCCACTGTCAAAAGGCATACAGAATCAAACCGTACCACTTTTTCGGCACCCTTTCGAAAGAGCACCAACACAAGAAAGAGTACTAAAAGGCGAAGCTAGACACGCAGCTGAACGCTATTGATTTACAAAGATACATCATTCGCTCACGCAACAAGCCAGAATGAAATTAAAGCCATGTTTTAAA